TGTTGTCTTTGCAGCATTTTCAATTAAATATAGGGTTTAAATGATTTGCACATCGTTGGATTTTGTCTTATTTACACTTTTCACAGGAGTTGTACGAAAGAACCCATAAACAACCACTAATTTAAAGGTGTAGCAGTCTGGAGGACATGTGTCTTGTGTCTATTGTCTATTGAGTTTTGGATTAACTTAATTCAAATATGTACATCCACTGCATATGAATGCATAACATCAACACTTGTATTGTCTTTCAGTTGGGGGCAGGCCTCGCCTAAACCCCTCCTCAAGTAAAACATTTAACAAAGTACAACTAAAAGTAAGAAAGTTTCAAGTCAAAACTCCTGAAGTACTGAGTTCCCCACAGAACTGCAGAGGACCTTCTTAGAACACCCAGCATCTACCAGCACAGGAACTGAATTTTCTTCAGCTCTGTTCTGTTCTTTTTGGATCCTTTTGGTCAAATATAAAATGCAAAAGCTATGAATTGAGAAAGTGAGAAGAGAAACAGCAAAGCAGCCCAGGAGCTGAACCAACATAACGGAATGAAATTAAACCCAAAAAAGGAAAAAGAACTAAATGTAACTGAGGAAAAAGTCTTTTCTTTGCAAATATACACTGTGTGTCGAAATGATTGAGGACACCTGCTAATCCAACTTCCACAATGAAGGGTATTAACAGGGAGTTTGTCCTGCTTTGCTGCAGTAACAGCCTCTACTCTTATGGGAAGACTTTATACTGGATTTTGGAGCATTGCTGTGAGGATTTGATTGCACTCAGACACAAGAGCATTGGTGAGGTCAGGTACTGAAGTTGGATGATCAGTTCTGGATCACTCTAACTCATCCCAGTGATACTGGATGGAGCTCCATCACCCCAGTCCCACTGCTCCACAGCCCTGCTGGGGGGGCCTTATACCCCTCTAGCCCACACTTGACCTCAGGCTACTCCAGAGGATCCCATTTTGTGGCCATTACTAATACATTTCTCTAATATTCCTCATTGTGAGATTGTTGTAAACTGTAAGATTAGTTGGCTTATTTTTTATGTCTCATTATTTTGGAAGACAATGTTGCTTGTTTCAAGCATACAACAAGCACAATCATCTGTTAATATTACATATTTGCACTTGAGACAAATACAAAATGTGTAGAAATTATTTAAATAACCTTATATTGAGTTTACAGCTTATCTTACATCTAAATATTAGATATATAGGCTAGTTTTGAGATGACCTCACTAGCCAAGATACCATTTTTTGCAGTGTATAACTAGATAAATACCCATCTTTGCTTTCAGTTGACTTACTTCTGGCAGTGATTGTGTTTGTATGATGTATTAATGTGATGAAGACTGTCAGTGTACAGATTCCCAGCATTTTGTACTTTATACTGCATGTAGGAAGATCCAGATGGGCGTTAAACCGAAGCCCTTGGGCAGTGCTAAATGCTGAGTCAGTAAAAGAATGACCTGCTTGAGAGCGTAATATTAGATCACTCACCCGGCTTCGTCAGTAATATGAAGGCGGCGTGAGACGTCCTGAAGTGTTCCTCTTTTAGATCTGCAAGCATCGATCGCTTGATAACGCCACGCAGTGTATTCTGCAACACTTTTCCTGTCACTGCTGCCATTAACACACCGACTTTCAGTTATGAAATTGCTTCTTGGTTCAAATCACCATCACAAGCATCAGAGAAAGGCACCGATCACCACAGTAGCACAATAACCCACCTCTTCATGTGTGACTTATACAGTATAAGCAGGCCAGGTAGTAGGAGGAAATGAGAATTGTGTTTTTTGCTGAATGGCAGGAAGCAGAAACTCTGACTTCTGTGATATTGATCCGCTCTTTTGTGTTTCTGTGCAGCAGTAGGGTTTTTCACGATGACATCTGGCTGCCACAGTGGAGCACTGATCTGAGCATAGCTTCACAAAGATGCACTGGAGGCCTCAGGACAACACGTGTTAGCGTGAGGCGACTCAGATCAGTTTCCCCTCTCGCTATATCTGATTAGTCTCTACAACAGGCAACCGCGGTTGATGTCAACAGCGTTGTTTTGATTCCAAATGTGGTGTAAAAATCCTGTTCTGGGCTTGGTGTCCACGGCCTTGCTGGCAGGGCTTGATAAAGAGAGCCTAAGCGCTATGGGAACAGCTGAAATTTGGAAGTTCAACCAGGCATAAGACCATAATAGTCCTTCATCTCGGTAAGCCTTCAGCGTTTGGCTGGAAGTGATCAGGAAGGGGATGTTTGGAGAACAGCTGTTTTGCTACAAGAAGGTCAGAAAATAAGCTGAGCCTGTTAGCAAAGGTGCCTGTCCACAAATTGTTTCCCTCTGGCACTTCATATCTCAACACAGCAAAGGAACAGACTCGATTAAGTTTGAAGTTGCAGTCTCGGAGGAAAGAGATCCAAAGTGTAAGCTCCAACGCTGCCATCTATGGAGAAAGAAGGGAACTGCAACAAGGACTCATTGAACCTGGGCCTCCCTCAGCAAGACATAAAATGGGAATTCCACTGATTGTTCATATTTTCTGTATAATTCAATTGTTGGGATGTAAACGAAGTCATTCAGAGCGGTTTAATGCGAAGTGCTCCATTCTAGAGAAACTTAAGTCAGATGTCTCTACTTTACAGTGGTGAATGACCATTCAGCCTACATAGGTTTTTATATGAATTCTGAAAAAGTTTCTTTGGAGACTGTCTTGCCTTATAGCATGATATATGTTCCCCTCTTCAATGATTGGAGTTAAAAAAAAGAACTTTTAGTCCAAATCTTCTCTCAAAACTATCATAAAATAATGTCTCAGGCATTAGGCAGCCTGTTCGTCTATTTCATGTCATAACTTTCTGTGAGGGAGCTTTTAGAGACATTGAAGGGGATCTATTATGCTTTTCCAGTCTTTCCTTTAGCTTTTTGCACATGTAAACAATCAATAAAGTTACAAAGCCCAAAGTTCACGCCAGAGGGAGAAACTCTCTCCCATGGAAACTGCTTTTCCCAGCTGCCTATTTGGAATTCCAGTCCTTGTCACTGCTGGAAGGTGATGTCATCTCGTAACATAATGCTTATTGCCCGCCTACCAGCAAGTTGGCACACCCTCACACAACGCCCAGCTAAAAAAGTAAACCAATCTGAAATGTTCTGCTCCAGTCTAGCTTGCGATGGAGCAGGTCTACCACTTGTTCCACTCTCTCAGGAAAAAAAGGTACAAAACTGTCACTGGGGCAGTACCCACTGGTCATCTCAGTACCTTTAGTCAGGGAACATTTGTAATTGTACCGTAATCCATACATACATACATCATCTAAACCACTTATCCTTCTGGGTCGCGGTGGGGTGCTGGAGCCTATCCCAGCTGTCATTGGGCGGAAGGCAGGATACACCCTGGACAGGTCGCCAGTCCATCGCAGGGCACCCTAATACCATAATCCCATGTACCATAATCCATTAAAATTATATTTCCTAAACTGTACCAACTCCACAAACCCCGAATCGTCTCCAGACTTTTATTTTATTGTTCTGGTTCAAAACATTCGGTTATGAAAAGATACAAATATGAACTTTTCACCTGGAAAAACTTATTTATGGTACATTTGGACCTTAAAACCACTGTTGTACCTTTGAGGTACATTTACATTGTTTGTACCTTGATGAACAAAAAATGTACCTGCACAGAACCTTTATTTCTAACAGTGCACCTGACTTTCAGGATCTGACTCTGGCTACAACTAATACGGTAAAGCTGATAGTAACAATAGCCACAGTGGTGTAGGGGCGGAACGTAGCAGGATGCCGCTCTGGCAGTTGACCAGTCAGAACAGAGTGGGCGAGCTGACCAATCAGAGCACACTGGGCTCAAGTACAGTATGAGAAAAATATTGTGTTTTGGGAAATTAAAGCATGTAAATCTGTTCTACACTCCTAAAAAAGATGGTTCTTTAAGGGTTCTTTAATAAAGACAATAGTTCCATATAGAACCATGAACACTCAATGTACCATTTACCTGCTTAAAGGTTTCTTTGCCTTGTGAAGTGGTTCTTCAGACTGATGGAGAATGTGCTGTATGTGGTTCTATATAGTACCAAAAAAGGTTCTTCTATTGTTATAAGCTTGACATCGTGATAATAGCAGAACCCTTTTTGGTGCTGTATAGAACCCTTTCAAAAAGGTTCTATATAGAACCATATACAACACATTCTCCATCAATCTGAAGAAGCATTTAATGATGCAAAGAACAATTTATGCATGCAAATGGTTCATTGAGTGTTCATGGTTCTATATAGCACCATTTTCTTTACTAAAGCACCCTTGAAGAACCATCTTTTTAAAGAGTGTAGGAGACCCTAAAATTAAAATTATGAATATTGAAAATGAGCATAATAGATCCCTTTTAAACTCTACAGACGTCTGGTTCCCATCACTACCATTGTGGAGCATTATTGCTAAGCTTCTCTAGGTATGGTGCATTTCACAATAAACCACACTGAATGACTTAGTGATATAATTAACTGCAGATATTATAAAAAAAGCAGAATTCACCTTTAAAAGAAAAGTTTGAGCAAATGTGCTAACATGGCTAATAACGAGTGCAATCTAGCAGCTACCAGTTAGCATGACAGCATTTGCATAATGCCAGTCAGTGGCTTTTCACTTTCCTTCATTCTTAGCAACATTTTTTTTTTGACCAAACTATTTCCTTGATCAGTACTACATTTCATACGCTGGACTAAGATGGGAATATATAAGGACGTCCACTTATAATGGCAGTTCCATTTTAGTTTTTTTTCTTATTTGAATTATGGCTTGCTGAGGGTCAAGACATGAATATAGATCTGTTTCATGTCAACATCGCTGGATTTTTTCATCATTTTACCACAACACCAATCACAGCAGATATACTCAAGATACTGAACCAACTAACTCTGCAGTTAGTTGGTTCAGTTTCAGGTTTCATTATTCAGTCCAGTTTGTTAACAGTTCACCCTGACTCTGTCTCTGCAGTGCTGTGCGGTAACCCTCCTCTAGTGGACAACGCCTTCCTGATCGGCCGCAAGCGTTCTCACTATGACATCCACTCGGTGGTGCGCTATCAATGTGCGGACGGCTTTCTCCAGCGCCACATCCCCACTGCCAAGTGCCGCGCCAACGGCAAATGGGACCGCCCCAAAATCATCTGCACAAAGCGTAAGTGACCATGTTGAATTATGTTTAGGCTATATTTTCACCCAAAAACATACATACATGCATACATACATACGTGTGTGTGTGTATATATATATATACCATCATCATATATCAGCCAAGAGGTTATGAAGCTATGAGGCTAATGTAGCTAACAAGTAATGAAAGTATAAGCATAAGGTAAACACCAATTAGCACTGCACAAACTGCCTAAATCATCACATATTTGGGTTTTTCTTACAAATTTTGTTCTTTTGCTTCACTTCATTAGTTTACAAGAACAACATTTACGCAAGGAGATTCAATACTGAATGCTGAATCTTATACTGATCAGCACAGACAGATTGGCACAAAGCGTGTTTTAGGGTTTATGTGTGTGTTAGCATGCAGTGATGCTAACTTGTGGGTTATAATCTTCCATTACCTGTCAGCTACTGCAGCTCCAGTGCAAAACAAAAGGAGCACTTCTGACATTTGACTGACTACATTTGGCCCAAGCATGGCACGGGAAAAAATGTGTACATTTGATTTTGTTGCTGAACTACTACTTTAATAGCAATACTACCCTTTTGAAGATCATATGCTAGAGCAAGTTGCTCATTTATCTCTCCTTTTTGTCTCTTTCTACAGCTCGGAGATCCCATCGCTACCGCCGCCACCATCACAAGTCTCATCACGAGCGCAGAAAGCACAAGAAGCACGGCTCAGGGGGTCATCGGGGTGGACAGGAGGGTCATGGCCATTTCTAACCAAAAACAAAACCCCTTGCCTCTATCTCCAAATGAAGTTCTCTTTGCTCCTTCTTCATTTGAAGCGTTTTGTTCCCTTCGCCCTGCATCGGCCTCTTCCCACCACCCTGTGATCAGAAGGGCACTGCTAGACCCCCACACGGACTATAATGGTTTCCATTCTTTTGTCAAGTTCGCTTTGTTAACCTGTTCATTTCTTGGCCTGCTCCGCATCATTTTAGTGTATCTACCATGAGCCTAGTTAAGGGAGTCTGTTCATAACTTCACTGTTGAAAACACTCTCAGCTCATGTACAGTACTTTTACATAAACAGTTACGGAGGAGGCGGTTTGGTATAAAAGTGTAAATAAGCACTGAATTTCGTTTCAAAAATCACAACAATTGAACGGTCAAGGAATAACTCTCACGTTTTGCTGTCATGTTCTTTCAGATTTTTGAGGCTTTTTCTTGACCTTTGTTGACCTTTGTTTAGTTAGCTGTTTGTAAGACATTATCTAAACTAAATGGTGAGTCTGAAGAGGTCGAAATGTTTTCATTGAGAGTCGTGTTTCTGCTGGTTTTGGAAGATTGCCTAGCCTTTTGTCTTAGTGTAAAACAATTTTCAACAATTTAATCCAACAGCAGTTTAATCTTTTTCTGATCAACCAACAAAAGAAAGGAACAGTTCAGCCAAAAATCCAACAACTTATTTCCACAACTGCTCATTTACCCTAAATACATCTTTTACTTTTATTATTTTTACTTTAATTCTGTAGTTTAAAATCAATCAGCCCCAGTTAGCAAGATGCAGATGATAAAAGTTGCCCAAACCACATTATCTGGTAAAGCTGTTCCACACAAAATTTTGACAATGATTGTTGAACTAACATGAGAGTAGATGTTCTTGAATTAGATTTTCTAATGGTTCTAATTTATCTGAAGAACAGTCAGTCACCTTGAAAGTATTTGAACATCTAAAATTTTAAAATGCTTTTATTATTTTACCGACCTTTAATCATCAAGCGATGCAGGCCGCAAAATCTCCTCCACCACTTACGATGTTGACAATGTTCAAATCCAGCTTGACACAGATGAGCACTAGAGGTCTGCACAAAATCGGGCATGAAATTGAAGCCCAAACCTGACCATATCTGCGACCTTGACAGCCAACCCTAACCCGACCCACCTAACTACTACTGCTCAGTTTGAAACCCAAATCCATCCCAAACCCACTCGCGCACACTAACACTGACAGAGATGGAACATTTCTGACATAGTTTTACAGTGACTTTGCTTTGCTACTAAGCACTTGAGTTGCTGGGATAACCTGCCATGTTACATATCTAATACTCACTAGCAGTATTTTTCATCGTAAAAACTTATGACACCTGGTGGAGAACAGCCTCCACTCTCCTCTGATCAGCTCTTCACCTCGCTGTGCTGAAGTACCTCACGCTACTGCTGCTACTGCAGAAATGCTTAACTCTCCTCAGGTGAGAGTGCAGAATTCAAGTTGGCATAGTCCTTCAAATGCAAACACACACAACGCAAGCCCAATGTTATTCATGAAAAAACACAAAAATCCCAGCCCAAAACCTGACATTTTGTCAGGCTCTATCAGTCTGGGGTCAGGTAGCAGACCTCTACTGAGATTTTGCAGCGTGTGCTTAGGCTTTTTTTGGTGATTTGAGTTGACTTTGCATCACTTAGTAACATTAGCTTCTTGGGTCTAATGCAAATCTACAAAATCTTTTATTAGAATGTGGTTTGAGTTGAACTATTACTTTAAAGCAGGGGTCTCAAACAACCGTCCTGCTCGCCGGATGTGGGACAGCGTACCCATCACTTATTTAAAATTTATCCTTAAATCTGGCCTGCAAATCTTTTGTTTTCTCTTTTTCTGTGGCTAAATATTAACATCTGAGAGGTAGATTGGTGCTTCATGCAAGAGGAACCATTCAAATGTAAAACTGAAGCAGCTTGAACTCTGCATACTGAGCCGCCCGGCTGTAATTTAGCCATAAATTATAGTAAACATTTAACGGTAATTCTACTGTTAAATGTTGACAGGATTCAATTTACTACTAATATTATTAATAATAATCATTTTTCCTTGTATTAGTAGTAGTTATGGTTTGTGGTGACAGAATAAGTGCTAAAAACACTGATTCAGATGCACCTAAATGAGCATACATGCTACAAAAATACGATTCTTACTTAAAAGAATTACAGGACACTTTTTCCCTGTATTTTTCCCGACTGACGCATCCTGGCTAGTGGGCCCCAGGTCATTTGTGTTTGAGACCGCTGCTTCTACCACTGAAAAACCTCAAAGAAACATGGCAACTAATGGTGGTGACAACTGGCAATCACACTTTCTCAACCCCTGAGTAACATTTTATTTTTAGGTTTTATGATCACAGTTTTAGGTTTGATGGATTGAAACATTTTGTACTGTAAAAGCTTTTACCTGCAACCATTTCTGTCAAACTGTGAGGATGTGTGATGATTCATCTCCCACTCGCTCATGGAGAAGCTGTTTTCTTAAGCCTTGAAAGAGATTGAGAGAGAGAGAGAACTGAAAGAGAGCGAGCGCTATCATCTCTTAATGGCGCTCGGCCCCATATAAAGCACATCAAACAGGCCCGGTGACATGCCGCTTCCCTCGGCCGTCGGGAAGCAGGCTGTGCCCACAATTAGCTTCTCAAAACGGTGTAGATGGTTCAGCAGGGAATAAAGGAGGCGAGGACTCTAGAAAGAGAGAGAGGAGCTCATCCAGCTGGTGCTATGCCATGGACGTGGCAGATGCCAAAAGGGCTCCTGGGTAAAGCGCTCAGCGGCAGAGGTGCCTCAGATCCACCATGAGCTACACTTAAGGTCGTGAGGGTTAAAAACGCCTGGAGAAGCTTATAAGAAACAGCCACAAGAGACTCAACATTTGCTGTTTGCTTTTTTCTGTGTTCGCTACGGTTTGGAGGAGGTTTTTTTTAGTACCAGGTGCGTGTCCTGTTTTCCAAAGAAGGCTGCAACAGCTGACTGGAACAGGGACTGCGCTACCTCTCCGCCTCGAAAGAAAAGGGCCAAGTCTTTCCTTTATACTGCTTTTCTCTGAAGCCAGCGTGTCTTGCGCTTATCTCCCGCTTCCTCTCAATGTCCCTCTCTCAATTCCCCTAGAGATTACACTTCCCCCTTTGCTTCCCTGCCTTCAGCTCTTTCTCTCAAAGTCTTTCTCGCTGCCTTTATCCTGCTTGTCAATGACGAGGACGTGTGCAAGGTGACGGAAAAAGCCAATAGTCTCCATATCTGGACAATTTATCTTCTTTGCTTAATTAATGTCAAGGTTCTTCCCTCAACCTCTTGTCGCTTTTTGACATGATAGCGCTACAGACAAAGAGGACCAAGCGGAGCTGCGTATTGCTCTGGCTAATAGGTATCAGTGCACCACTTGTTTTTGGACCATGAGTTTGTTCAGGGAACAAAAATAGGGCATGTCTGAGCACGACTTACATTAGAATTACTTCTGAAGCTGAGAGCATTAATACCAGCGGTGTGAATCAAACCTAGAATACAGCAGGTCAAGAGTGAAATAGTAATGGATGAATAGGAATCTATCAGATGTGACCACTACACTTTCTGAAATATACAGTCATAAGTTTGAACAATCCAATCAAATTATGTTTTGTTGCTTTTTAAGTGAACATAAGTGAACACATCTTGTACATCTTTCTTCAAATTCTAGTGCACAATGTCAGTTTATTTGCTGAGTTCAACATACTGGAAAAACATAAAATGTGCCATAACTTTTCTACAGGCCACATTTTGTGTTTTCATTTTCCCAGTTTCCGTGTAAACAGTAATTGTGCATTAAATACATGAGAAAGGATCAACAAAACGTGTTATTTGACCAGGGACGCATAACCTTAGGAAAGGTGCCAGCAAGCAGTTTAGGGAGTGATCCCATAAAAGAACCACTTTTGCTTCTCTAATGATAATTTCAGTTGAGTGAGTGATTTAAACTGAACTTGTAACTCGTAACTCACTCACTCATGTTTAGCAGGCTGAAAAGGCTCCACAAGGGGGCGCCATTAGCAATCAAACACCTGCTGATGCTTCATAAGAGCCTCACATCAGTGAAACTTTGTGTCTTTGTTTAAAGAGCCACTGAACAAATGCATATAATTGCAAATGCAACACTACAAATGCATTTCCAGCAGTTTGATAAAAAAAAAAAAATCCAGGCTTTTTTTCCTGGAAATGTGTCACACTGCTACAGACGAATGGTGGTCACAGCAGGTACTAATGTGGCAATTCAGTTTCACAACCCATTCTGTTTTTTGCAGGGTTTCAGTAAAAGCTTTTCAGTAAAAAGTGTCACATTTATAGTTTTGTTCGCTATGTCTAAAGGTTTATTAAGAACCCAAAGTGGTTCTTCCACAGCATTGCTCAAAAGAACCACGTTTATTTTTAAGAATGTAGTCACTGACACTGATATACACCATAACCGTTCATATTACTCATTTAACCTTCTAATTTGCTTTGCCTTTATATTGCTTCATACTAAGAGCTTTATATTCCTTAAGCAGCCAGAAAGGCCAGTCAAATGGCTAACAATGTGCTGGCCTAATAGCGACTCTTAATTATGAAAATTAGTCTCTAAACAGAGGTTGTTCGAAGCTGTGTGTTGGCAAGGGTTCTTGAGAGTTCTAAGAGGCAGCTGGGGTATTCCTGGGGCAACTCTTCTGACTAATTGCCACAGAGCAGCCAAAGTCCCAGAGGTTTCTCCACAACCCCACTAGCTCCACAACCCAGCTAGGTTTCTGGAACATAGCCCCATTTAAGCAGTACCTGTCTCCCATGTTTACCACCAAACAGGATTTAATTTCCTGTGAAAATGTGACAAAAATTAATACATACACATCATCTCTGTCAACAGCCTATGTTTAAACAAGCATTAGCTCTGTTTTCTAACCATGCAGCGCCTGTCAGGAGGGAAAAAATGCACTTCACATTCAGAAGCACACGTTGTGTGGAGTTAACCTCGCCCTTTTCGTATTTACATTGTTGTATGAGTTTGAAAAGGAGGGCAGGAGTGAGGTAGGAGCCAGATCAGAGCAGAGGGAATAGCAGTGACCTCTATTTAATCTAGACTCCACGTTAGCATTGAGCATCCATCATCTCTTGCCGACTACGCCACTTGGTATGAGCAGTGCGCGGAGCGTATCT